ATCAATAATGTTTGAGTGTGTTAAACATAGCCAGCTATAGGTATTTACATACTCGTTTGCTGACAGATAAGGAGCTCAGAGAGGTGGGAGGAGAGGCTGGGGGGAGACGGGAGGGTTTGCTTGCGAGGGTTGAGATCATAATCCGGGAATGAAGAAAGTAAATGCTCGTGAATTGCCCCATCGCGCACTTCGGAGGCTAACTCCCTTTTCCGCCGGTTCCCCATCGCTGGCGGCCTGCGCCAGACGCTGAGGGCTGCCCGAAACACGGCTGGGCTCTGCGCTCAGTCACCGCTACATACACTTTGAGGTTTTTTATGTTGGTTAGTTGGTTTTTTTGGGGTTTTTTTGTTTCGGGGAGGCTTTTTTGCCTTTTTTTTCCCCCTCGTCCCTGGGCAGCGGGAAGCTGATCGGATTCTCCTTTGTCTCACCCACTCTGTGACCCGGGATCACCCAAGGAAAAGCCCCACGGCAGTCGGGAGCACGGCTGGTGCGCCAGGTGTCTGCAAACGGATAGTCGCGATAGGTTTTAAAAAAACAACTTTCCCGTCTGGTGGGGCGATAAGTAACTCCGACCTTCTCCCCAAGCGGTTCGGCTTCCCCCCAAGCGGGGGCCGGCACGGAGGGCTCTCTGCGCGGCTCTTCGCGTCCCAGCCGGGCCGGGGCAGCTGCAAGCCCCCGCCACCGCCGCCTCACCCGCCGAGGAACGGCTCCGGAGCCTCCTCGGGGGTTTTAAAGCTGTTGTCACTGCGCTGGCGAAAGGGAGGAGATAGGCTATAAATACAGCCGTCGCGCCCTTTGCTCGCCCTGAAATCTATTATTACATTTATTGCTTTGACAGAAGGGAAAAAAAAAAAAATGAAATCCTCGTATTAAGTCGGCTCCATAGTTTCCAGACACCCTGGAACCCCCTCTTCCACGGCAGCATGTCTAATGTATTCCCTGGTGATTCTAGGCATTAATTAGTTGTTTAATAGGAGTATGACTAAAAATGTAAAAGAAGGATTAGGAGCGTGAAACGTATGTCCAGCTCCTTCCACACACTCGAGGAGGGAATGAAAATCATCCAGTATCTTATGTTTCTCCAGAAGCCATTTGCATTTCCCACCAGCTGCTCACTTTAGCCTCTCCGGGGCGGACGGGGACTGCTGCTGCCCGGCGCGGAGGCGGTCGATGAAGGGCGGGCGGTCCCGCTCCGCGGCCGCGCTGCCAAGGCGGCAGTCCCAGCCTTCCCTGCCCGACACACAACGGGGCTGGGCGTGTGGGGAAGATGCGCACCGGCGCAAGCACTTTACTTCTCCCGGATAAACAAAAGCGAGAGGCGGGAGCTGGGAGTCCCTCTCACTCCCGCTCTTTCTTCGGAGGCGCGGAGAAACTGGATTTCACCTGGCAGAGCGCTCCCAGGGATAGAAACGCAGGTAGCCAAGGACGCAGTAAACTATTTTATTTCTCCCTAGATTTTCGCACAGGATTTCTCTTCTTGCGAGAGAAAGTCACCCCCTCCGCTTGGCGCGGCCACCGCTGCGGCGTCGCAATGAAAGCTGTTCTGAGCACACCGTGGAGCGCGGTGCTGCCGGCTGCGGCTGGGCTGACTGAACGACCCGCGGAAAACTTGGCCTCTTCCAAGGGCTCGCTTTCCCCTCCAGCAATAACTGCCTAGCCCCCTGCCCACGGCTATAAATAACTAAAATTCACTCCAGGCTGAAATAATTTTTAAATAGCCACAAAGAGATCAGGTGTAGCCTCCGAGTTAGTAAAGCGCCTATTTTATTTTCTCGTGATTCCTCTATAAACAAAGCCGCGGAAATGCTGTGAGAAAAAGAGATCGCTTTAGTTTGATCTGAATAGAGAAATCCAGCTTCGATATTTTCTTAAACACGTAAAACGCCGCAAAATCGAAAATAAATTTCCCGCTGGAGGCAGCTCGGTGTCCTTTGGGGAAAAGGGAGAGAAAGTAGCGTTTTCTCGCTATCGCGCGTAAATGATGCAGGGCGAGTAACAGAGAGGAGCGGCAGCATTTCGGCTATCCCGGCACCGCGCTACCGATACAGGCACGAACAAGAACACCCCGCATTAAAAAAAAAAAATACAAATATATATATACATATATATATATGTAAGAAGTAAGAAAAAATTGGGAAAAAATGAAAAAAGTGAGTTAACACAGGAAACCGAGACCTCTCCCAAGAGGTTGCCGATCCCTCTTCACACCTGGTGCAAGGACAGCCACCGGCCCGGCCCGGGAAACTTCGGCCACAGTTACTTGTGCCCCCCTCCCCAGCCGGGCGGAGCAGGGCGCGCCCTGCGCGGGCGCGGAGAGGCCACGGCCGTCCTCGCTCACCTCGGTTTTCCTCTGGCTACCTAGCCCGCCGCCGCGCCGCCTCCGCCGACTTTTGTCCTTCCTCCTGCCCCCTGCCCCCTCCGCGGACGGGGGCTGCACCGCCGCCGCTGCGCCCGTGCCCGCGGAGAGCCGCGGAGCCGCCCGCCCCGGCCCGGCCCGGCCCGGCCCGGCCCCGCGGCGGCGGGGAGCGCTCGGCGGAGCCGGCGTGACGTCAGGGCCCGGGGAGGCGGGCGGGGCGGGGCGGGGGCGCGGGAGGGCCGGGGAGGAGGGAGCCAGCGGCGGCTCCGCGGCCCCGCAGCCAGCGCAGGAGCCCGGCGCGGCCCCGCCGCCCCCGTCAGCCACAGGCAACAGCAGCGAGAGAGCGGGGCGGGCAGCGCAACCGGCCCCGGTGAGTGCGGGAGGCTCGGGGGGTACCGGCGGAACGGGCGCTGGGCTGCGAACCCGGCGGGTCCGGGCTCTGCGCACCCCGGAACGAGCAGCGGGACGGCGGGCCGGCCCGGGCAGGGTCCTGCAGGCTCGGGTGGCTGATGTCCTCCCGGGCGGCCGCGGCCCGTCCCGCAGCGCTGTGGGCGAGGGAAGCGGCGCTGCCCCCGCGCCGTTTGCCCGCCGTGCCGGTCCCTCTTCCCCGGCGGGGCGGGCGCCCAGGAAGCGGCCGCGCAGGCAGCGCCTTCCTGGCGCGGGGACGCGGAGCCGGGCGGGGGGCGGCAGCGGCGGCGGCGGCGCGGGCTCGGGCTGCCCGAGAGCGATGCGGGCGGGTCTGCCTAGCCGGCCGCGGGGTCTGACGCCAGCACCGCCAGCGAGAGAACGGCGGGCACGGCTGCCCCCGGGCACCGCGGAGGGGTAGGCCCCGCACGGAACCCCCCTTTCGTTTGAGAGCCAGCGGCCGCGGGCCTCTGGCAGAAAGCCTCCCGCCAAAATCACGGACCGCAGCATTTCGGGCGGTGAGATCCTTGCCAGGCCGCTCCAGTTTTTTGGGGATTGTGGATTTTTATTTTTTTTTTTCCCGGAAAGAACAGTGATAGATACCTATAAAGAAAAAATAATAATCTCGCTTTGCTGTCCGCGCCCCGCAGTTGCTCCGAGCAGGTTGCTGCTGAGAGGGCCCGGCCGCGGAGAAAGGCAAGGTCGCACGGCTGGTGCGTTTGCTGGGGCCGTGGGCGCGCAGAGGTGCGGAGGTATTTAAATCTGAGTACTCGGAGAAAGGGAAGTGGAAAAGCAAGTGGAGTTGCTTTCGTTTGTGTCGCCGGGCTGGAGACAATAGGAAAACGCTCCACTTGGCCCGATGCTGCGATGTGTCTGGCAACGAAAATTAAGAGGATAAGGAGAGGAGAAAGGGAAGGAGCAATACGGGTGAGGAAGGAATAATAATAATCCGTTCGAGAAAGGCACTTTTCTCCGAGGAGACCGGCATTTCAGTAGAGAGAAAAAACTTCCTCTCGGTGTCGGGGCGTGTGCGTGGGGGGAGCCGTGTGTCTCCACTCGTGAGATAAATCAGCCATAGAGGCAGGCCGCGGGGGAGGGCATTTGTCACGCAGGACTAATCTTGACGGAGACCGATCCCGAAATAAGGACCATCGGCGAAGAATTAAGGTTCCCTTAATCGCCTTCCCGATTAATTTAGGCACTGCTCGTGTGCTAGGCCCGGTTGCTGGAGGGAGCGGAGTTCCTCCCTGGCGTCGTTCATCTGGGAATATAAATCGCCATCTCACGACACGACCACGAGGAATCCCAACAATAGCACCTTCCCGCTTCCTTTCCCCCCTTTTCCTTTTTTTTTTTTTTTTTATTTTTCTTTTTATTATTTCCCCCCTTTCCTCCCCTTTTTCCACGGCCTTATCCTGCTTGCCCGGCGGAAGGTGGAAGGGCCGGAGCCTCGGGGCCCTTCTCGGTGGGCGCTGTGTCTGGCGCTGCTCATCCCAAACACGCCTCGGCTCCAGGCTGCCGGATTTCTAAGCACCAGCTAATAATGCGCCCGGTCCAGACATTAAAAAAGAAGCGAAGAAGAAGAAGAAAGATTACCGAACTGATGGTGACATGCAAATTTCCCTCGAAATTATCATAAGTAAACATTTGAAGCCTGGACTAATAAAATCCCATCTGTGTTACTTCATATCGAGTTAGTAGAGAGCTGTGATAATGAATTTTGTAATATCTCACGAACAGACATCTCAATCAGGCACTAATCCTGTGATTTTACTGCCCGACCTCTCAGATAGAGGGAGGCGGCGGTGGCGGCCGGGGAGCGCGGAGGCGCGGCCGCTGCCGCGCAACTTCCTCCGCGGTGGGGGAGCGGCTGCTGTACCCGCTGTCCTACGGCACCCCCGCCACCGGGGTCGGCCTGTCCCGCGGCTGAGCTCGGCAACGAGGTTAGGGGACTCTCCTACGCGTGCCCAAAGAACTAGAGGTGCAGGGAGGCCGGAGGGTTCGACGGGCCGGGAAGCAGCCACGGGTGTTTGCGCCCGTCCTGCGGTGTGACTTTGGTGGGACCTGAGGCTGAGGCAAGGAGAGGGGACACTGCGCGTATCGCTGGGGAAATGTGCGCGATCCAGCCCGCGTCGTTGCGACGTAGCTCCCAGGGAGGCCGTGCTTCGGGTTTTTGCGTGTATTTTTCAATCCCAAAGTAATTGTTTTAAAACCATTCGTCTTTTGCAGATAACGGGTAATGGAGTCCAACTGCCGCAAACTTGTCTCCGCCTGTGTCCAGCTAGGTAAGAGACACCGCGGCCCGCCGGCCCGGAGGCGCCGCTGCCGTGCGGAGCGCTGCGCGGGTGCGCAGCCAGGCGGGCCGGCCCCGGGGAAGCGGCGCCGCCTCCGCGAAGGGCTGCGCAGCGTCGGGCGCTGACACCCACCCGCCCAGCCAGTTACCTCTCCCCTGCGCCGCCCCGCCGCGTCCCCGTCCCCAGGCGTGCAGCCCGCCGCCGTCGAGTGTCTCTATTCCGAAGGCGGACATCTAAAGGGGGAGATAGGCCGGAGGGCCGCACGGAGCGGGCCGGCAGCACGGTGTCTGGGCCAGCACGGTGTCCGGGCCAGCACGGTGTGCGGGCGGCCGCCCCCAGCGCCAGTGACCCGCGGCGGTCTCTCCGCTCCGCGGGCGCGCTGCGGGGCGGCGGCGGCAGCGGCGGGTCGGGCCCGGCTGCGCGGCGCCAGGGCGCCCTCTGCTGTCCGCCCGCGGCGCGCCGGGCGCCGCCTGCGCCGGGAAGTGCGCGGCCGCGGGACGGGGAAGCGAAAGGGAAACGGGAAAAAGGAAAGGGGAAAGGCGGTGCGCGCACCCCCGCGGCTGCGGCTCCCGCTGCCAGAGCGCGTGTCCCCCAAAAAAGCATCGCTGTCAGCGCGCCGTTTAGACATCCGCAGCGTCGCCCTCGTATTTATTTTTATTTTCTATTTTTTGACACCACCCCCGCGCCCGTAAACAAGCCGCCAGCCCTCTCCTGCCCCCAGAGGTAGGCACCCCCACAGCGCTCCGTCTGCAGCAGAGAGAGCTCCTGTCCCTCTTCCCCTGCCCTTTTCAGGGGGTCTGACAGGCGAGCCCGAGGGGTGGTAAAGAAAAACAGCAATGCAAACATATTACAAAGAAGAAAACAAGCGCCCTGTATTTCGAGAGACTGTTTAATCCAAGATAAACGTAATTTTGTTTAAATAAAATACATTAACCTGAATTAATAATACAGGAAACTAGAGTGAATTAATAATGCACGTATTCCTGGTCTCGTGGTTAAACACTTCCTTGTAAGAGTACTGTATTAACCCTGTTTGGCCAAACAGCTCGCTATTTCTCAAATAACATCCAATGATTTCAGGAGAGGCCACGTCCCCTTCTCGAGTCCACCCGCCCCCGGGGACTTTAGGCAGGATTTACTAGCTGGACATCAAAACCCCTAGAAGAAGAAACGCTTAAGCTAAAGGAAGGTTAGCGAGCAAAATCCGGGGTAATTCCAAACGCCAAAGTATTACGAACCGATAATTTTTAATCCCGGAAACATACATGATATTAAATTGTGCACAAATAGGCTTTACCAGGGTCTGGCACTTTTTCCCTCGGCCAGTAATAAGTGTTAAATAATGTGGAAAGGAAGGGTGACATTGCTTTATATATGGTTTGCAAATAAGAAAGGCCTTTTTACCCTCCCCTGCCTTTTCTTCCCGATGAACAGGTGGTCTTAATCAAAGCCCTTAGCACGATCTAATGGGAAAGTGGGGACCTTTCTGATATAATAAATTTATGAGCCCTTCCAAGTCAGCTTTATTCGACTAAGTATTTATAAAAGTAATATCCACATATGCTCCCTGACACGGTAACTTTAACTTCCTCCGCCGAGAAACAAATGGTTATTTTCTTAAACATCAATTATGAACCTGGATTATTGTAGTACACGCAAAATTTCCTGCCTTGTTACCGTACCAGCCGGCCTGTTTTTTACTCGCCGGGCTGCAGGGGAAATTGCTATCTAAACACCTTTAATGCCATTAATTAAAACATACGTCCGAGTCCGAGAAGCAACGGCGGTGTTGCCTGACCATTAAAACGCTCCCATTTACGGGGAAGGGAAGCGCGACGACCTCGGATACGGATATACCCCTGCCGATATGGGAATATATTCCTGCAGATATGGGGATGAGCCCTGTGTGGTGCCTCAGTCCCTGCCTCTGTGCGACGGATAATGGCAAGTCCCGAGACGCCCTGAGCTGCTCGGGCGACTTGCTGTAAATCGTAGAAATCACGGGTGTTTTCTCGTGATACCGGAGGGATTTGCTGGGATCTTGGCTTTGATTTGCTTAAACCCGCGCGGTACTCGTTGATTTTTGTCTTACCTGACCGTAAGGACGTCATGCTTTTGGGATTTAGTTTGCAAAAAGTCTGATCCTTGGGGCGGGGAAGGAAGCAGGGGTGATTGGGGACCCCACTCTGTCACATTTCAGCTTGGGAAATTACGAGGGCGGTGAGGTAATTTCGCCAGATAGGCACCGTCGGTGGCCACGAGGAGAATGATCGCTAACTAGAACCACTGGCATTAACAGCAAAACATGCGACTGTTTTGTCAAATCGGTGGTTCTGCGAAAGGAGGAAACGAAATTCAGTAGGAGACCCTCCAAAAGTACACGGCATGCCGGCTTCCCGCGGGGAATGGGGCGCAGGGGGGGAGGGCTCTTCCAGAAGAAACGAGTCCGTGGCCATGCCGAGGAAAGGAAAATGGGAAAGTATGAAAATATTATTGCAGCCTAGAGTGTCAAACGCAGCCCGGCGGGTGTCAGATTTCTTCAGAGAGACAGGAAAATTGCTGCCAGGTGACCAGACCCACAAAATTAGGAAAACTTCAGCACATGCTTCGGCAGACCCACGGCACTTGTAAACGGTTGTCGGTGGTGGGTTTGTTTGAGTAATTTTTATGCAGGGTGAAAGGATGCTTAAGGTATTTGTGTGTACGTGTAAAAATATATATATAATCTATACGATTTGTTAGGTCTGTGAATTCTACTTAAGGAATCCTTCCCTGTAATCGATAATCTGGGTATTGCTGAAACAGCAGCTTCCAGCATAAAATGTTGAAATTACATTCCGTCTCGTATCACCATTCAGCATTCCAAATTGATTGTTTCAACGCTATCGGAAACAAAAAAAAAAGGAAATAATAAGGAAAAAAAAGGTCTGACTATTCCGTAGCTGAACATTCTTTTCAAAAACAAACCTTAAAAACCTAACGCTGATTCAGCTTTCCATTCAGACCGGCTGAAGACACTGCAGCGTGCAAAGCAAAGGTCGCCGGTGCCTTTTTTGAGCCGCGGGCCGAGGTGGGCGCGCAGGCTGTGCCCCCGCGGGAGGGAGCGAGGGCGGGGAGCTGAGGCGGAGCCGGAGCATCGCTGCGACCGCTGGGCCGCCAGGCAGAGCCGAGCGGCACCTTCCCCTCCGCACAGCGTGGCCAAATTAGTCCCGGGAATTGTGACCCGAGCCGTGGAGCCGGGATGTTCCCTGCCCGGGGCGCAAGCCCTTCGCTGGTACGCGGCCCCTCGGAAGGTGCGCGCCCCGTCCCGCACCCCCCGCCAAGCGCAAATTAGAAGTTATTTATTGCGCTTCGCTTATAGAATTTTCCCCCTCCCCTGTTGGCCTCTGAGAATAATATATGCAGCAGTTGTTAGCCTCACTCCAGGGAAAACTAAATGTATAACGAAAGCTTTTTCGTGAGTAGGAATATACTAACGGAACAATCTGATGTCTTCTTAATCCTATGTAAAAAGCTCTGTAGTCTTCCTAATATTGACTGAATGGGTAATTAATGGCTCTTCATCGAGGAGAATACCCGGTAATCCGAGATAGGCGAAAGACAACAAGCCAAAGGTAAAAGACAACAGGACTAGTTGGAGGCTCTACATAAGAACCAATTTATCCATTTAGGGGAGTATTACGCCTGGAAACAAAGATCTCGTGAGGCGATAAAGGAAAAGTGGGAAAATAAATACCCGCAGTAGGTCTGGCCACCCTCCGGCATCCCCAGCAGAGCCGCTCAGCTCCCGGCCCTGCTCTCGTCGGCCCTCCCGCTTGCCGCGCCGGGGCGGGCACCGGGCATTCCAAATAAACTCAAAAAACAGCGTGGAAAAACTAAAATTAAAGAGAGAAAAAAAAAAAAAGACTCACAAAAAGCCCCAACAGATTAACCAACCCAACAAACAGGGAAAAAACCACACCAAAACTCCCATGAAATGAAAAAGGTGATGTGGAGCGGGGAGCATCTCCGATTCCCCATTTTTCGTAGGCGGCGGACGTCTCCCAGTCCATCTGGGCGCATTCCCGATGCGCCCTATAGCTCAGGGGGAAAAGGAAAGAGAACAGTTCCTAAAATAGTTTTGGGGTTTTCTTTGGTGATGGCAGCCGCACACAGAAGGCGCGCATAGTCGGTACGCGAGTGAGCTGGCGGGGGCGGCTGCGTGGCCAGGACCCGAACCCGAGAGGGGATGGGAACTTCCACCAGAAAAAAAAAAAAAAAAAAAAAAAAAAATTTAAAACACTTGACATTTTAATTGAAACCTTTACCGCTAATATATTACCTGGGTGACTACAATTAGGTTGTTTTTCGGTTGGCTGACAGCTTTTAAAATATTATTTCACTTGGGAAATAAAAGCTTCATCTCAGATTATAGGTGGGTATTTTTGGATTTACGTGATTTATGGTCACCATGACAACTAATGCTGTGTGGTAGCTCCCCTCCTGCCCGGGATGGGGGAGTTTTAATCAAAGGCACGTAAGGAAATGCCGACAGCCTCTCCCTCTGGGCTGCCGGGGCCCGGGCCACTGTTGTGCGCTCCTTTTCGGGGCGCTGGGACTGCTGCAGGATCTGTCACGCCTGTGGCTGTGGGACGCGGGGCTGGAGCTGGGGAAGGTGCGGTAGGGCGGTGCGGTGGCCGGGCCCTCCTCCTCCTCTCCCCGTTCTCCGGGGGAACGCTCCGGGAGCGGCCTGCCCCGCCGAATGTCCCGAGAGAGCGGGGCTGCGGCCGGCGGGCTCGGCGGGCACCGGCGCTCGCCCTGCCGGGGCATAAAACGCGTAACAAGCGCTCCGCACGCGGGAGGGACTTGTCGCTTCGAGTCGCGGCGGCAGAAGGGCAGAAGCCAGCACTGCCCCAAAATGACTGAAAATAAATTAATGCAAAAAAAAAAAAATAGGTGACGGGTGTCGTCCAAGACAGGGATGCATTGATGCATTGCCCCGTCTAAAAAGAAAAAAAGTGGGGGAGGAAGGCGGAGATACCTCCGTATCACCTCTCCCTCTGGCTCCCCCACCCCAGGGCTTTGCACACTTGTTTTCACCCCGACGTGGGGCTGCGGAGGGGCAGCGCCCCCTCCCAGGTGCCCCTCGCTGAGAGGCCAGGGCTGGGGCAGCGCCCTGCCCGCGATTTCGGCACGGCCCCGCCACGGGGAAAGGCCGGGGGGAGGTTCTAGGTGCGGGACCACAGAGGTAGCGAGAGGTTAAGAAGAAACTGGGATATGATTGGTAAACAAATTGTGCAGAATGGAGCTGGATTCATATTGACTTAGTTATAGGTCATCTGCTGCCGGTGCAAAGGGAGGAAATATTTACTTTACACATATACTTTATGATCTTGGGGGAATTAGAGGAAATTCAATAAGAAAACGGCTAGAATCATTTTAAACCCCCTATTTAAAAGACTTAAGCAAATTAGAGTCTTATCAGATTAAAATCCACTACAAATGTAAGAGCATTGTCTCCATCGAAACGCTGTGGGGTCTGAGGAAAGAGATTCTTTGCCAAATCTCAGGGATAAAAACACGTCATTTAAACACCAGATAATGAGCAGAATGTAAATTAATTTAACCTTCTTTACTAACAGGCTGCGAAAGTAATATGTATAATTTAGCGATAACTAAGATTGCGACGGATGATACGTTCCTCGAACGAGAATCAGCGACTGAGGAAGACCCTTGAGGGAGGTGGGGGTGGGGTGTGGCGGACGGGATGGGCACGGGACACAGAAAAGTTTGGGCGCTGGGATGTGGATGTGTAGGGCCACATCAACTGGAAGCTTTCGCTAGCTTTTCAATACCAGCCAGATAAATTGAAGATAGAGACGCAAACCTGCGTTTCCCGCTCCTGGGCTACTTCGGAATCCCCATCCCTAAGACGGCCACAGCTCCGCTGGGCCAGTGGTGGCTCTGCGGGCTCGGGGTCGGATTCCTCTGCCCCAGGAGGACCTGTCCAGCACGGCAGGGCGACCTGTCCCCGCCTTAGACGCGTGGAAAAGCCCCGCACCTCCTTCCTGCGAGACACGGCTCCACAGCAGCCTCATCCCGGCGCCACAAGCGCTCCCACGAGCGGGGACTGCGGGACAGGGTAGCCCGTCCCTCTACTGCCTCTGCCCGGGAGAGGGGTCCAATCCTGTCCCCAAACCTCGGAGAGGGGTTTGAGAAGTTTGTGTGCTGGCGTGCAGACCGGTGTGGGGCTTGGCCAAATTCTGTGAGCGGCTTGCGTGGGCTCGGGTTCGTGGGCTGCTCCGGGCGCCCCGGGGGGGCGGGATGGTCCCTCCGGGTCCACGCCGAGAGGGAGGAATGGTCCCGCGGATTACTGTGCAAGTAAGTGGTAAAACCGGGGTGAGAAAGCCTCCTTGGGGGCTCGCTTTTGGGAACCCGGTCGCAGGGAAGAGGCGGCAGTGGCGGAACCAAGGAAAGGATTTTCCCCCGTGTACCCCGCCTTTAGTGCGGGCAGAGGAAGGGCAGAAAGCCGGCGAGCGTGGGAACTAGAAGGGGTCAGGGTCCTCCGAGCGCGGTGTGAAGCTTTCCGTAGCTGTGTCGCAGAGGGGAGGTTGTTGTCGTTTGTGTTTAAATGTCGCTGTTACCGGCACAAGGTCTGCCGTCTAATCGGCCGCGCCCCCGTCCCGCTTATTTTCCACCCCCTCCATGAGGAGGGAATCGGGCTTTCCCCCACCCTCCTGCAGCGGCTCTGGCAGTGCCGAGCTCCCCGCTCCCAGCCCCGCAGCTCCGGCAGCGCGGCGAGGCGCGGAGCGGACGCGCTCGGAGCCGCTCGGGCGGGGTGCCCCGCGGGCCGGCGGCGGCGGGCGGGCTCTGGGGGCGCGGGCGGCCCGGCGGGGCACACCGGGCGGGGGTTTGCGGGTTTGCTGGGGGCCCGGGTGCGCCCGTCCCCGGGAGAGCGCGGGGGGCGGCGCGGGGCGCGCAGGGCGGGGCGCGGGCGGGGCGGGGCGGGCGGCGAAGGGGCGGGGCGGGGGCGTGGCGGGGCGTGGCGGGTGACGTGCGGCGCGGGGAAGGCCGCCGCCGGTTTAAGATGTCAGGCCAAGAGGGAAGCGGCTGAGCTGATGCGGTGCGGGGCCGGCCGCGGCGCGGGTCCATGCGCGGGCAGCGGAGAGGAGCGCCCCGCGGAGCGCCGCCGCGCCTCGCCGCCCCCGCCCCGCGGAGCCCCGCGGCGGGCCGGGGGCCGCCGGCCGGGGAGCTGCCGTGTCGCCGTGACGGCGCTTACAGGACCGGACTCGCCCGCTCTCCTGTCGCCGCCGCCTCGCCCCCCCGGGCGGCGGGGGCTTCGAGGCTCGCCGTGCCTCCCGGGCTCTAGTCGAACGTCGCTCGCCCCGGAGCGGTTCCCCGGCCGGCAGCCCTGACCCCCGGAGCCGCGGGGCTGCTCCGCGCCCGCGGAGGGGGCGCTGCGCGGACCCTCCTACACGTACCGACACCTACAGACACACGCACACCTTCTCCTATCGACCCCCCAGGCGCGCACGTAGACTTTGGCGTCCTTTTGCCGATGAACTGCATGAAGGACCCGTTAAGCCTGGAGCGCCTGGGAGCCGGGAATAAGCTGTGCTCCTCCTCACCTTCCTCCTCCTCCTCCTCTTCATCATCCTGCCATCACCACCAGCCCGCGCTGGCCATGGCGACGGCGCTGGCGCCGGGGCAGGCGCGTTCCTCCCTGGAGTCCGCCAAGCACCGGCTGGAGGTGCACACCATCTCCGACACCTCCAGCCCCGAGGCCGCAGGTAAGAGGGGGTGAGAGGCAGGGACCCCGGCCCGACGGGCGCCCCGCAGCCCTGTCCTGCTCCGGCCCGGCTGGCAGCCCCGCGGACTGCGATGCGCCGCCGCCCCTCCGCCCGGGAGCGCCCCGCACCCGAGCCGAGATGCGTTTCGTGATTTTTCGCGTGCGGTGTCTGTGTGACGGCGTAGAGGAGGATAATGACATGTGTGAGGATAGGCGAGTAGTATGTGTACTGATAGGCGAATTACATGGATACAGATCGGCGAATAACGTGGGATTTCATGGGCGAGTAATCCCGATGCAGACGGACAAATAGGGGTATATACGGACAAAGAATATTGTTACAGGCGGGCGAGTAACACCAGTGTAGGTAAGCTAATAAAACGAATTACGTGTATGCAGACGGGAGAATAACACGGATGCGCATAGGCAGAAAGCTTGCGTACGGAGAGGCGGCTCCGTGCCGCTGCCCGGCGGTGGCCGCTCCACCGGGAGGAGCCGCCCGTGGGTGCCCGGGACGCGGAGGAGCCGCAGCGGCGGGAGGCCGGCGCGGGTTAATCATTACAGCAGCGAGCGGCGTTCGGGGCAGTCTGCGGGCTCCAGCAGCGCTGGGGACACGCTTCTCCCCAGCCGCTGGAGAGGAGGCTGAGGAGGCTGAGGCGCCCTCGTTTTCCGCCTTGTTTTTTTTTGTTTCCCCCACTTACAGAAAAGGATAAGAGCCAACAGAGCAAGAATGAGGATGCGGGGCCCGAGGACCCCTCCAAGAAGAAGAGGCAGCGGCGGCAGCGGACTCACTTCACCAGCCAGCAGTTGCAGGAGCTGGAGGCCACCTTCCAGCGGAATCGCTACCCGGACATGTCCACCCGGGAGGAGATCGCCGTCTGGACCAACCTCACCGAGGCCAGGGTTAGGGTAAGTCCTGACACGGCACCCCGGCTCGGAGCAGCGCGGGTCAGGGTGGGCTGGGAATGGGAAGGAGGGCTGAAATATTTGCAGCTGCTTTCGATTTCGGCTTGTATGTAAACTCCAGAGCCTTTGCACAAAAGCAGGGCAGAGCAGGACATTTCTGTCAAAGTGAGACAGATTGGGATCTCTCTCTGTGTGTCTGAAATATGGTTTGCTGCACGTTTCGCCCTCACCGTGCAATGCGTCCCTCTCCTTTTGATCGAAACGCTAATAAAAACATTAGTCAAGAAAGCAACTTGGAACAGGCTGCAACCTGCGCTGTCTCTAATAAGAAAAAGATGTAAAATACACAAGAGCTTTTGCTTCACTCCGAGGCACTCCCAACGTGCCCTTCCTTGCATTTTCTATTTCTTTGGGTTTCACAATTCGACGAGCGTCTCTCTCCACCCTCTACCCCCCTCTGAGATTTATGGGACCATCGCGGCGCTGCAGAGATACCGCGGCCGGATCCTGCTCGCCTGCAAACACCGCGCTGGGGGGGAAAATGAAAAACGACAAACCCCAACACACACACGCACAAAAAGAAGCCCATAAACGGGCGAACCTTCAGATTTTCGGGAATCCCACACAAATCCTCTCCCCGAGGTGGCTTGAGGAAAGCGAAACGGTGAGAGCCGGGGGCGGCAGCGAGCGGGGCCGGCTCTCAGCCCCGGGCCGGCGGTGCTGGCGCCGGGGCAGCCCCGCGGCGGGAGCGGGGCCCGGCCGAGCCCGGTGTGTCCCGGAGCACGGAGCGCCGCCGCTCGCGGTGCGGCTGCCGCGGAGGTTTTTGTGTCGGTCCGCGCGGGGCCTCCAGACGGGCCCGTCCCCGCGGAGCACCCGGGCGGCCGCGCCCAGCTCCACCGGGGTGGGGGTTACCACAAACACCCCCGGGTGGGTTCAATACACACGGTAAGGCGGCTGCTGGCGGCTGCCCGGCGGGTCAGACACCCAGATGTGGATTGGGAAAGGGCACGCTTTTCCCATTGTCTGCGCGGGGAGGGTCCCTTAGATCTCATTTAGCACTTTGTTAAATGGTGATTTTCCCCCCCCCCCCCCCCCCTCTTCTTTTTCCCTTTTTTTCTTTTTCCCTTTTTTTCTTTTTCCAAAGAGCAATGAAACGTGTTTGTTTAGAAAGTGGTTTTCGGTTCTGGAAGCTTTCACGCTAGAGGAACTTGTAGTTTTAACAAACTGAAGCCAGGATTTATTAGTTGCTGGCTTCCCCCTGCTTTCTCGTACCATTGCCTTAAATATTCCGCGGGTTTCCAGGCGTTTTACTCCCACTTTTCCACTTTTGTATTTTTCCTGGGTGGCTTCAGTACAGAAAAAGCCAAGAGAGAAGGGAAGGGGGAAAAAAAACCCAAAAGAGAAATGAAGGGGTGGGGGCAGGAGAAAAGGGAGAGAATAAGAAGGAAGCGTTGGCCTCTGTGGAGCAAATTAGAGCATCACAAATTATGTGGAGGGCTGCGGGGGGGGTAGTGGGGGGGCCGTGGTGAGGGTGGAATTGTGCGGCCACGAATCTGCCTTGCTAAAGCCAAGCGGCCCCGAGGATGCTCGGCTGTCCCGGCAGCGCACCCTGGCCCAGAGCAGGGCTCCACAGAGGAGGAGATGAACCTATACATATATATTCGTACAAATTTTATATATAAAAACTATACGGACAGGCTCGGCTGTTGCCCCCGAGAACCTGCAAAGGGCTGCAGTGGTGGTGGCTCCTGACTAACTCGCATCTCCCTCCCTCCCTCTCCCCCCGTTCCCAAAGGTTTGGTTCAAGAACCGCAGAGCCAAATGGAGAAAGAGAGAAAGGAACCAGCAAGCCGAGCTTTGCAAAAACGGCTTCGGCCCGCAGTTTAATGGCCTCATGCAGCCCTACGATGACATGTACCCCGGCTACTCGTACAACAACTGGGCAGCCAAGGGCCTCACCTCCGCTTCCCTCTCCACCAAAAGCTTTCCTTTTTTCAACTCCATGAATGTCAACCCTCTGTCTTCTCAGAGCATGTTCTCCCCTCCAAACTCCATATCCTCCATGAGTATGTCTTCAAGCATGGTACCTTCTGCAGTCACCGGGGTGCCCGGCTCCAGCCTCAACAGCCTGAATAACTTGAACAACTTGAGCAATCCCTCCCTGAATTCTGCAGTGCCAACGCCAGCCTGTCCTTATGCTCCTCCAACACCTCCGTATGTTTATAGGGACACATGTAACTCGAGCTTGGCGAGTCTGAGACTTAAAGCCAAGCAGCACTCCAGTTTTGGCTATGCCAGTGTGCAGAACCCCGCTTCCAACCTGAGCGCCTGCCAGTACGCGGTGGACAGACCCGTGTGAAACATCCAAGTAGGAAACTGCCTGGGAATCCCTCCCCATTTCCCGCAGAGACTGAGAATTTCACGAGAAAGTAATGGGCACTAGAGAGAAAGAGAAAGGAGGAAAAATCAGAGGCAGAGAGGAAGAGAGAGAGAAAGAGAGAGAGAGAGGAGGAAAAAAAAAAGAGGAAACCACTGAAATAAGATAGTTCCTTTGTTTTCAAAGGACCTCCTACAGATTCGGAGATCTTTCTTTCACTAAGAGTATTTCAACAGTTACAAGGACATATATATATATATATATATATGGACAAATGTTTGACTGGATATGATATGACATTTTAATGTTACTATAAGCTTGTTATTTTTTAAGTTTAGCATTGTTAACATAAAAATGACTGAAAGGATGTATATATATCGAAATGTCAAATTAATTTTATAAAAGCAGTTGTTAGTAATATCACAACAGTGTTTTTAAAAGGTTAGGCTTTAAAATAAAGCATGTTACACAGAAGCGATTAGGATTCTTTCGCTTGCGAGCAAGGGAATGTATATACTAAATGCGACACTGTATGTTTCTAACATATAATTATTAAAAAAAATTGTGTGAATATCAGTTTTAGAATAGTACCTCTGGTGGATGCAATGATGTTTCTGATATTGCAATGTAAAACATGCCCTGTGTATAACATTTCGTACAATATTATTGTTTTACTTTTCAGCAAACATGAAAAAAATGTGTTTTATTTCATGGGAGTAAAATATACAGCATACAGTTCTGTCTGGATTTTTTTATTTACTGAGCCAAGCTGCGCAGTAGCAACCAGTCTGCAATGATTGACTGATAGCTGACACTGGATCTCGTTCTCTGGCAACGCGGGGTAGTACTTTTACAATGCAAATAAATGCTGGCGCTTTTTTTTTTTTTCCCGCGTTAAAAAAAAAAAATCTCGCTCTAACGTTGCATACTAGAGAAACATGGGACGTGTACCCCTTGGGTCCTTTCATTTCCCCGCACAGCCCCGAGAAAATGCATTATTTGACATCGCTGGACTCGAGAATTACCTGCCACAAAGCCGCTGTATCTCGAGCCTAAATTTGTCCTGCTGTGAAAGAAGCTTTTATTACATTAAAGAAAAGGGAGTGGGGGAGAAAAACATTTTAAAAGCCAGCTTGCAAACAAACTGCTCCCGTTCAAAATAATCTGTCCCCTTTGCCGCCCCCTGCGCTCACCTTCTCTCCCTTCAGCGGGCAGATCCTTCATGTAATATTACATTTCTATTTCCAAATCCCCCTTTCAGACATGAAGAGAAACAAAGAGCAGCCCAAATAACCGCAACCCCGTGGAGCGCGGGGGGTGAGAGGTTAGCCCGAGTTTCCTGCGACTTCGTGCTGCAACACGTCGTTGAAGGGAAAGGTCGTGCTCTCGTGTGTTTTGTTTTAAATAATATTGACCCATTCATTCTCAACCTGCTTGTTCGTGAAATTATACAGGATTATAACTTTGCCATCGCCAGACAATTGAAACAAATCAAGATGAATTGCTGCTCGGCCCTCCCATCGGCTCACACCCCGGGCGGGCGAGGAGGGGCTGCCGAGAGGGTGGGCAGCCGCAGGATCCGGAGGGAATATCGAGACGCGAAGAAATTCCGCAGGCGCGTAAACTGGCGAGGGGCGCAGGGGACGGCAGGGAGGAAACTACGCGGTGAGAGCGAGCGTGATCCTGGAGCGGCCTTTGCGCGCTCGCTGCGCGCCTTTGTGAGGTCGGGAGGAGCGGCCGAGGCAGCCCGGGGACGGGCGGGCACGGCCGAGGGCTCCTTCCCCCAGCGCCTGGACGGGAAGGAGAACAGAGGGAGAGGGGAGAGGTCAGCGCCCTGCGCTTTCCCACGAGGAAAATGCTTTCCCCACACGAAATCAGGGTATCGTCCCGTGGGTCTGTTTGCAGCGTGGGCAAACCCCAGCCTCCACTTTTTTCCCCATCATTTTTATATTTTCTTTTAACACCCCTTAATTTTATTTTCTTTACCGCCTTTTTTTCTTCCTCGTCACATTTTTTATTAGATTCTTTCTTCTCTGTCTTATTTTGTTGTAAGGTTGGGGGCTTTAAAATTATTTTAATATTTTACGCGACTTTCTATTTTCTTTTCCTCTGTGTGCTCTTGCCAGGGGGTCGGTGGAGAGAAAGAACCTCGGTGCTCGGGACGGGGGGGAGGCGGGAGGCCCCCCCTGCCTGCCCGGCCTCGCCGCCTCCCCGACCCAGCGCCGCTCCCCTCGGTTTTTCCGCACCGTGTCAACACCTCACCCGGGTGAGTGCCAGGGGCTGCCAAAAATGTCCCCGTCCTCCTCCTTCTCTTCCTCTTCCTCACCGGGCTGCGGGAGAAAGGTCCGAGGGTGCCGGCGGCGCAGGGCTGGCAGCCCGGGAGCCCCCTCGGGGATCGGGGGAGCCGGAGAAACGAGAGAGCTCTTCTGCCCAAAGCCTCCCGGCGGGACAGGCTTGGAAACCAGCGAGCGGATCGCTGCGGGTATCGGCACGGTATTTTACACGCTTTTTTCGGCTCTCGTTTCTTCTCGGTGGCTTTGGTTATTTATAGTCCTCTTTTATAAATATAAACATAAACATATGTATCTATAAAATATCGGTATATACATGTGTAGAATCTGTGTGTGCGTGGAGAAATATTAGATATATAGCACATAGTATACACATGCACATTTAGAAGAATAATATATACCGATTTCGGACCAAAAAAAAAAAAAATTGGATCAGAGTTTTTCGCTCTACTGTGTAATGGCTCAAACGATGAAAAATCAACGTGACCGCTCAGAGAGGACATAAATCACTCCGAGAGTAGTCTGAATTTCTTTCTCCCCCTAGCTGAAGCCTTGAGGGTCATCATTTTTCTGCGCCACTTGACCAAAGATATAATGTTTTGATTAGGTCGTAAATCAAAATCTTGGGTCGTGGTGGGGTTTCTTTTCTTTTATTTTTTTTTTCCGGGGGCTTTCCTTCTCCTTATCGGCGGTGGCAGCGTGAACCTGGAACAATGGAGGCCGCCAAGAGGGGGAGAAAAAGCCACAACGAAATGGGGAATTTGCGAAATACCTATTTGCAGAGGCGGGGGGGAGAGTGGTTAGACGAGGGGTTCACGCCCCCTCGCAGCCCCCTCGCCCCTCGGAAAGGCCGATTCAGGCCGCCTGCTGCGCACCCCCCGCGCCGGGCGTGCGAGCGGGCAGCGCCGTCTGCCTCCCAATCCACATCGCAATCCACATCCCAATCCACAGTCCCGCTGGCCCCCGCAGCCCCCACAGCCCCCGAGCGGAGCTGCGGCCGCGGAGCCGGAGCGCGCCCCTTTAGCCGGGACCGGGGCTTCTCGGCTCCCTCTCCCCGCCGGCGCCCCGGGGCCGCGGCCCAGCCCGGCTCCGTTCTTTTGTTTTCGGACGGTGTCTCCCGCACTTTGAACCCCGGCGGCGTGCCCGAGTCCCCGGCCGTCACAGGGGAGTGCCTCGCCCCGCAAAGGTCAAAATGACGCGCAGATATGGATGTATCTCCTTTTGGGTATTGTCTGTGCTTCCCCTTCTCCTCTCCTTGCTTTGTTTTTCGTACGTGCGCGCTCATCCGCGTGTACTTTCCCAAACCAGCGAGATACCGATCTTTACATACCTGTACAGTTGAAACAACTGTACCTATAAAATAAAAGAATTTTTTTTTTCCTCTTAGACATTCATTAGCATTTTTGGAGGGAAACAACTTCCTTTGAAAAATAGCTGACATCTGAGCCCGGGGAAGAGTTTGTTGTTTGGGGGGTTTTTTCTTCAATAAAGCCGCGTTTCGGGGGCATTTTTTTTTTTTTTTTTATTTCAATAATGCTCGGTTTTGGAGCGGAGGCGACGGTATTTGCAGGTTTTCAGCCCGCCTTCCCCCGCCGCCGCGGACGGGGCTGCGGGGGGGGTCTCACATGGCGGCTTAAGACAAGGAGGGAGGACAGGGGACCGGCTCACGGCACTGGCGCTAACACGCTTCTTCGGGACGTATAATTTACCTTGCTAAATGTCTGCTTTGGTACGCGTATTACATGTGTAGGTCTGGATATTAGGCATCCGATAGAGCGGAACAGTCAATAATCCAGAAACTTGGAAGGATTTACACCTTCAGAGCTCCATACAATGCCGGACTAATTGATTGCTAAATCTGAAGTTTTTTAAATGCAAACCCATTTTGGAATTAATTTCTCCGGCCTCCTGCAACTACTTCTAAGAGAGGAAGAGAGGAGAAATAAAATAAACTCTAACGTGCAAATTTTAAGCTGTAAGGGAATATTTTTTTTGTTTGGGGTGTTGTTGTTGTTTTTCGTGCGTTTGTTTTGTTTTGTTGGGGGTTTTTAATGAAAAAAAGAAAGGCATTTGAAGCCGCTTTTCGAGACTTCGGCCCCACTTGTGCCAGGCAGAGCCGCGGGACGGGAGCGGGCAGAACGGAGCCGGCGCTCCGCGCCCCTGCGCAGGGAGCCAGCTCTCTGGCCGCGCTCGACGAACGTCCCTCTGGTGGATCCGCGATTTCGGGGATGGCGGTGGCTTCTTTGGTCGCTTTCTCCCTTGCGGCTGTGACCACCCCGGCCCGCCCTGAAGCGCAGGGGACAGCGGGGGTCGCTCCCCCCGCCGCGGAGCCAGGCGGGGCAGGGCAAACGCTGCCGCAGCCCCGGAGGGACCCGAGCCCAGCCTGCCCTCTCGTGGGGCGGGCTGTGACGGCGCGGGGGCCACCGGCCCGACCCCGGCCCCGCCACCTCGCAGGGTCGCCACCAGCCCGTGCCCGGCAGCTCCGGCGGTGGCAGCGAGCGAGCGGGGCCTCAGGGTCGGCAGCCCCACGGGAGGGAGGCAGCGTCACCCAGGTGGGGACAGGTCCCGCGGCACCGCTTCGGCGAGAGCCGGGGCCAGACCCACGCGGGGAGGGCGCGGCTCGGCAGGCCCTGCGCGGCCGCGACTCCACAGTGGTGAATCCCTGGGAGTTCGGGGCGAGAGGCGCAACTCGCGGGGCTGGGCTCCCATCGGGAGCGGGGTATGGACGCGGCTGATGGACAACCCAATACCAGGAGAAAAAAGAAAAAAAGGTATTGAGAAAAAAAAAAAAAGCCACAAACTGCCCCGTAGCCCACCCGGAGCAGAAGGCCGCGAGTGCCTCGCTCCGGCAGTGACGAAGAGCTGAGCACCCTTTGGAGGCAGCCGCCTGCCCGGCACGGCGCTGAGGAAGGAGCCGTGTGAGCCCTGTGCGTGACCCTGTGTGTGCGCAAGTGTGCAAAGAGTGTGCGAGTGTGTGTGAGAGACCCGGCCCCGGCCCAGCGCGGCTCCCCACCAAGCCGGGATGCAGCGGGGAAGCGTCTCAGGTTCACTCCCGCGCACACACGCACACATACACATGTAACACACACAGGCGTACCTATTGCGCACACGTGGGTATTTTACACACCGACACACAGACACATGTGCGCACACACACACAGAGCGCTGTGCGGGCCGCAAATGAGAGGGATGCTCCAGAGGCTTTGGCAGGGACTGGCCACGCACAGATCCCGCCGGTGAAACCCACGCCTGATCGGAATGGCGGGGCGTGATCGCCTTTCAGTCTCTCCTGCTGTTTGACCTTTTGTTGAGGTTTTCCCCCGCAAATCCAGGGGCTGAGGGGCCGTGGTGAGACCGATGGCCGCAGCCCCTTCCTCGGCCGCGGGCTTGCGCTCAGCCCGGCCCGCGTTGAACATTAACCGGCTGGAGCGGCCCCGCAGTGCAACAGGCTATGTATAAAAATGAATCATCTCCCAGGTTGTAGTAAAACGTCCTGTAAAGTCCACCTATAAATCCTGGTATGCACTTAGTGCTCTCGGCTTCACGTCTTACCGTTGCTACCCAGTATTTGCCATTCCCTCCTCTCCCCCCTTTTCTCTCCCCCTAAATCCCGCTGGCTGGCTGCGGTCCTAACTCTGGGTCCGCATGCCCTGGACGCAGTGTCACCTCCCCGTGAGGAGAGTGAAGCCCCACAGGGAACCACGGAGGGTCGCCACTGTCGGGGCGCTGGGGCCGCCTCTCTCCCTCCAAACTACAGCGAGGAGAAACAGAAGCTGGACAGGCCCGGCCCCCAACCCTCCAGGGCGGCAGGAGCCCCCATCCCCCGGGGCCAGCCAAGGTGGGGCGGCTCGCAGCTGTCCCTGCTGCTCCCGCCCTTCCAGGGGTCTGTGTCTCTGCGCCTGTGATAAGAAGAGCTACTCATACATTGCAGCAAGGCTCTATAAAACTCCCCCCTGCAAATTCGTTACGTATTTTTTCTCGGGATTAAAGGGAAAAGAGGAAGACTATCTAATCTGATTGGAGCACAGGACTGCATAGCCTCGGTGGGCAGACGTGGGCAAGGATCAACGGGAGTGTAGCCATCAGGGCAGCAGCCCACAGCTCAAATCCACAACTGGGATTTATGCAATTGGAAAGGAACCCGAGGAACAAGCGCCCTGGCCTGCTGGGTGTGTATATGGAGAAGTGGCAGCGCTCGGGAAAACACGAGGGTGGAGCCGAGCTCATCACTTGATGTGTATATTTAGTGTGGTGGTAGTCCCGCTGCCTCACGGGGGACTACTTCCACGCTGAAAGTTATTCACATGCCTGAGTGATTTGCTGGATTGTGGCCATATGTAAAGCAATAAATATAAGTGGCTACTTCTGTGCAAGTAAGAGATCCAGAGGTCTCACAAGTAATTTTCCAGCAGATCCAGACCTCACAGTTTTAAGATAAAAGTGAAGAGAACTCCTTTGTTTCATTCAATTAAAAAAAACAACCCCACCAACAATTAAGGTCACTGGGACAATAAAAGCATAAAGGAGTATAAAGCCTTTCCTTTATGTAAAAGCATAAAGGAGTATAAAGCCTTTCCTTTATGTAAAACCTTGATAGGCACTTTCAAGACTGCATTATCTGGAGAGGAGCAGGAATCTACAAGCCTGTGCCGATGCAGTTTTCAGCCTTTCGAGCCACAAACTCTTGCATCTGCTTTGGTGGATGCAGAACTAAGGAGTGAAGGAATTTCTTGCCCGGCTGGGGGACGACGTGTTGGTGTGAGTGGGTGCCAGCCCGTTTGGTGCTCTTTGAAGTCAGCAGAGTCTGAGCTGGCAGTGCTCTGTGCAAGGGCAGTTCCCAGGCAAGCAGAAACTCTCCCTATGAGGTTTGGGGTGGTTGAATTCCCATGATTTCTCCAGGGAAGGTCATGCGTGCTTCCCACCCTTCAGCTGGGATGGGAAGAGCAGTGGAGACCGAGGTGGCTTTTCTGCCCTCTTTCTTCTATATGCAGAGCCAAAGTCTCTGGCATTTCTCAAAAAAAATTTTTTTTTTCAAGCAAAGCAATACAGAGTTTGAGCAAAATAATAGCATCCAGCTTTTGGCAATGGTGCCTATAAATTCATGGCTTTAGCCTGGACTCTCTCATGGCCAGACTGTAAATTTTCACGTTCTAACTCCCTGTGACAAATCTCTAGCCCCAGTCATTGTTATTTCCTTCAGCTTTCCCATCCTTCTGGCAAAAACCTCCAACTCTGGCATTCTTTTCCCAAAACAGAAATTCCTACCACAAGGCCCGCCACTCTGAGATCATTTTTAATAACGTTTGGAAAATGAAAATAAGATACATAAAATATATGAATGCAAGAAACATCAAATGAAAACTTGGAAAGGGTTTCAAGTAGTATTACAAATAGGAAATAGCTTTCCAGAGATAAAAATACTCCATGTGTTTTGTTAACACCAACAGGCAGTTGGGCTTTATTCTCATGGTTTATTTGGAAGTTAAGGGACACCTTTGTCCTACTTGATGTACTTGTAGCTGTTGGCTGAGCCAGGAGGTCAGAGACTTCAGCTTGTAATCAGTGGGTGACCGGCAACATCCTTGACAAATAATGTTGGCGTGACACGATCAGGGCGACAGCCATTCTCACATGTCAACAGCTGTAGCTCAGTAAGTAAAGGACTTGGGGAGGGATGTTTCATAGCACAGGTCAGTTTTTTAGTCCTGGACCATGCACCTGAGATGCTGTTTAAAACCTCACCCTCTGATACAAAGCAGAAACATTGGCTCCTACTGACAGGGTGGTTTTGTTTTATTTTGGTTTGGGTTTTTTTTTTCAAAACAGAAAGGGATATTAATTACATGAAAGAGGGGTCTCATTGCTCATTAAATGACAGTTGTAGGTTCTCAGGAACTTAGGGGGTTTTTCCTTTGAATTATCTAGGGCACAGGACATGTTGCATTTTTCTGTCTTCTGAACAGAAAGGCTTCTGAAACTGGAGCACAGCTCTAACAATTCTTTCCAGGACAATGGAGTACTTAATTCTTGTGATGGCCAGGCACTGCTATTTGAGACCACTCAAATTCCCTCTGGTAGAGCTGGCAGCTCTGGGGACATAAATAACATAGCTTGGAGGCCCAAGCAAGCATTGTTTGCATGAAAATATTATGGACCTACAGTGGCCAGTGTAGTGTTCTCCTCCTTGTGCTGGAAGGAGCTGAGATGCGCTTGTTGATCGAATACATGGGTCATGTATGCATATACATAAATCCCACTGGCTTCTGATGGCATTTGAACAGGATGAGAACTACTTGACTCATACTGGAAGACAGCAGGAATGGAGCATGTGCCCACAGAACATGCTGAATCAGGACCAGGCTCCAAGGCTGGAGAGGAAGGACTGGGAACAGGTTCCCTTTTTGTGGCCTTAGACAGACTCATTTAATCTTGCATGGCTGGGTAAGGAGAATATAGCTGGAGGTTCTACAGTGCCTAGAATAAAAAAATTCCTTTAATCTTATGGGAAGATTACTTAATCTCTGGCCAGAGAAATCAATCAGCTGTTTGGAACCAGAATATGTCTCATGTTTAGGGAAATAAATGAATTAAAAATGCAGAAAACCCTCTAAAGGAACTCTGTGAAGGCTTTTCATGGGGGAAGGAAGAGACCATCCTGCCCAGGCTATGAAGACCATGCTGCTCAGGCTATGAAGACCATGCTGACCCTGTATGGAGGTTGCAGACATGAGCAGACACTATGCAGATGCATGTTAGAAACACGTTGCATTAGAAGCTGCAGAGTGCTTCCCTTACTTCTCTCTTCTGTCTGGAGAAATGAAGCCAAAGAATGAATAAGAAGAAAAGATGAAACAGCTTGAGTAGAAGAAAAGAGGTTTTCTGGTATTTCTGGTTCCTGTGGGAGATTTTCTGGTATTTCTGGTTCCTGTGAGATGTCCTGTGCAGTGACTGTCACAAGAAGAAACCTCAATTGAATACAATGCCACCGAAACCAATGTGCTGTCATTAAGACAAATCTGTATGCTCTCTAGATCAGCTCAGGGGTGGTAAGTTACAAGAGTGATAATTCTGAATCTAATTCATTGGTGATGTAACCCAGGCAATTTTGTTTTACTGATTTATTTTAGTGGCACATTTTCACTTTCTTAAGAGAAATCTAATTGAAATAAGCCTGCAGAAGGAAAACGGGACAGCTAAATTGGTAGTCTAAACGTAGATTCTATAAAGGTAATGAAGATACTCAGAATTTATTCTTTGTTATTCTTCATGGTCTCTGATAAATTTCATTGCAAAATTTAGTTTACATGTATATACCAGCAGAGTGTGTGAAGTGTTGTGGGCAGAATGCCCATCCTGATTACCCCAGAGGATTAGGAACGTCAGGCTGTTACAAAGGAAAAAACAGAGCCTAGAACAAGCCTCAAGAAATAATGCAGTCCTGTCCTGCCATTTTTTTCAGCTGCAGGGTGCTTGAGAAGGTGCCTGCTCAAGGATTTGTTCTCAGTGCAGAGGTCTCCCAGAGGTACAAAGAAAAGCTCCCACTGTCCATTAGGAGATGCGCGATCTGAGGCTAGAAACATGGACTTCAGCCAAATGAGTGAAAAGTATAAAATCGCAAAGAGCAGTTCTTGATATCTTGGCAAGAAACCCAAGACAGTATTTGACACTCATCTACACACGATGCTACAGCCCTGCACTGCTCAACTGCTAAAGGCACGACATCAGACATGCAATCCTGGCTCCGTGGCCTCTGTGATTAAACTGCTGCCATGCAATCTGGCATAGTAACTGGTGTTGGACACTCGGTACCCCCAGGGGCTCTTGCTGTTTTAGACTGTTGCCAAGAGTTGCTGTTGACTGGAGGCACAGTAGTGAACCCTCTTTCAGCTGCTTCCCACTCTCCCATATTCCCCTGTGAAGTGTTTATGGATGGGACATCTCCATCTTCTGGAAATGAACTCTTCTTACCAACTCCCTCTGTAAGCAAGCAGTAAAACCCCAAGGGACGTGGTGGCTGAGTTAGGTTTGAGGCCCCAGTACCAAGAGGGTGAAACAATTGCTGGATACTATGGGAGTGTAGAATGACTCTATCTCTTGCCTTTAGCAAAGAGGGTCAGAGAGACACACCCTGTCTCCTGGATCCTTCTACACAGAGGGCCCTTGGCCATGGTGTTACTGGCCTGTCCTAAAACTTGGCAGGTTCTGAAGCTGAGCCTAGCAAACTAGGTTGCAAATAGGCTGCATAAATGCTGAACTCAGTGAAATGCAGGACATCAGCACTAGTTCATGTTTCAGACACACGGACAAGATGGTGTTTAAACTGAAGGATCTGGGATGCTTCAAGACCTTCAGATCCAAGTGCATATTCTGGTCATCTAGACTGGTGTAACGCTTTAAGCAGTCAAAAATATGTTGAATAAGCCTATGTATTCAACTACAGGAAGGAAACCAGGCATGCAAGCAAGCTTAGAGGGAATTACAGTGTGTTCTCATCAGGTCCTTGGTGTGTGCCAAAAGAGATGGGCACCTGGAAGGTCCGGTGTAGTTCATGTGCCATGCAGATGTTCTTTTTCAGCTACCCTTTGAGCAACAATTGCCTAACTAGAGCAACAATTGTCTCCCATGTGGTGTAAAGATAAAAGTGCATTGGTGTTTGTGAAATGCTCAGTTAACTTGGTAAGAGCATTTCAGCATATGGCCGACAAATTAAATCCCTAATTTCTATCTACTTCTACTTCCTTTGCATAATGCACACTTTATTTTTTGTGGATTTTTTAAAAGTTATTTTTAATTTTAGTTTTTGTTGTTGTTGTTGTTGTTATTGGGTTTTTAAAGCATGAGATTAGTGTTCCAACTCCATATCTTTTATTCTGGTGAAAAACGTAATCTTCATAAAATTATCTGGAGACAAAGCAGCTTGTTTGCCTATAGACTGGAAATTGGCCACCTTCACTAAGGAACCACAAAAGGTTTCAATCAAAAAGACAGGCATAGCTACAGGAAAAACTGACACAGAATGAAGCAGCCACCTCACTGCAACATCATTAAGGAAAGACTCTAATAGGCTGGGACAGATTTATATAATTAGTACAACTAGCTCATTATCTGAGACAAGGCATCTACAGCATGTCTCTCTGTGAAATTGTAGACGAGTGTGAGCTGATTACATTACATGTAAGTAGTGGGGCGAAGCAGCACATTTGGTCCAAATAGATGTAAAAAGAGTACCTAATAGTTTAGGTACTGTGGCATGAGTGATTTATACCTCCCTGCTTTGTCAAACCAAGTTGACCAAGTCAGACCTTTTCATTTAGTCTTCCCAAGGAAAAGTGCAAAGCATTTTAGGGGCTCATCTCCAGAAAAAGTGCCACAGTGGTAGAGATGCCAACTTTTCATTTTCCCAGTGGGTGGTCTGCTGCAAAATTCCCAAAAGGCAAAGGATCTAGAGCTAGACAGGGCCTCTCTTAAGCTAAAGTGTTTAAGAGATTTTTTATGTGTAATTTAAGATGTTTGCTGAGAAACAGAAACTCTGATTTAACTATTTGCAGCTTATGATTTTTCCATTAGAAAATCTTACAGAACCATCAGCACATTCCATATTTGACTGACCACAAAATCACAGTTTTTCCCCTCAAATCTGTTGCCCCACAGCAGTGGTCTTTGTTCTTCCCCTTTCTTATTAGGCTTGTGCTTATTTGGAAATTGTCACAGAAGACACTCAACTGCTGCCATTCACACTAAGCAATATGAGCCTCTAAAAATATTGCCACTAACCTCTTTTGGGGCAATTTGCAAAACAAGGATGTCATCTGGAAGTCTGGGCAGACTGACATTCCTGCTTAATATTTAACACAATCCCCCCAAGCACCCAAAAGTTCCACTCACTCCTTTCTGTGCAGAGCCCTTTCTCTAATGGCCAGGAAGATCAAACTGTAGAGAAGGCGAGCAGCAGTCAGCATTCTTGCACATATAAACTTCCGAGTCATCCCAAAGATGTTGGAACTGCATTGCAATAGGCAACTACATCTAATTGTCTCCCTTATTTAAGTATTATATTTTATTGTAGAAAATATATAACTTTTGTTTGACAGTGCAACAGGGTGGTCCTCTTTAAGTAGCCAAAAGGACCTGGAGCCAGTTTTCCCTTTTGCTCACCCCAGTAAGCTCTTTTTAAGGAAGTAGATGTGTGAAGGAACAGCAGACAAGATAGAGACTGGAGCCAGATGTTCCTCTGAGAGCTGCCTCCTGACTGGGATACAAATCCAGCTGCTTACTGACTCGGGGATTCCAGGCAGAAAGCTCTGGGATTTGCCAAATGTGTGCACAGGCACAGGCTTCACTCTCTGTGCTTACTCTCCCCAGCCTGCAGATGGAGGAGGAAAGTGTCTGCTTGGCTGGGAAATGGATGCTGTGAGCATGAAGAGTGTGTGCCATACAAGCCTTTTGGGAGAAAGCCTCAGCTTCCCAAATTGTGCAGATGAGTTCGGCAGGCACATTTCTCCTCATACCTGTGTTAAGAAATCCTGTTCTCTGCAGTGAACTGCTCCCTTAGATAGTTTGGGCATTTGTCTAATTTATGGGAAGAATGCCAAGGAAACTGCTCTACTGTGGATGTGCTGCAAGCTGACAACTTGCACCTAGCTTGTAAAATACATTCCATAGTTTTGGACAAACTTACAAACAGCTCCTAGCTAGGATAATAAACTTTGCCAAAGTCAACATAGGCTGTAGCACATATTATATCACCACCAAAAGCCTCCTTCCCTCCAAAAATTATGGTTCAGCCCCAGACAACCTCCCTACTCCAAAAAGGGTTTAATGCCACTGATTCTGGGGGAAGACAGAGCTTCCCTGCACTGCTGGTCTATAGGTCTAAGTCCCTAATCAAAAGTCTGGTGGGATGTGATTCTACAGGTTGTACAGATTGCTTGCTTGGAGATGGCTTGGGATAATAAGCCACAAAAGATGAAGAAAAGTCCATTTAGGGTTTTATTTTATACTTTTTTCAATGTTCAGGAACAGGTGTCACACATGTAAATTAAGACACATGAGGCTCCTGCTTACAAATTCTGGAGAGGTGCACCACAGCCCAGGACTCTGAAGCAGGCCTCTACACTCTGTACCTGTTCTTATTCATTGTGTATTTCACTGAGACAGTGCCAGTGACAATTATCCACACTGGAAAAGCTAGGGCAGGCTGTGGCTTTTCTCTGGTGAGCAGTCATGTCATTCAGCTGCCTCTACATTACCTCCTCAGGCAAGAGGTCTTGGTGGGCTGGGAACCACCTGGGTTATTTGTCCTC